CGTTCGCATACACTCAAAGGGTAAATCCATAAAAACCTTCGCCTTTTTAGACGAGGGATCATCCGTGACATTGATGGAAAAACACATTTATGATTCCTTGGGCTTGGACGGCGAGCTAGAATCCCTGTGCCTTCGCTGGACCGGCGAAAACACACGGATCGGAAGCGACTCAATGCGAACGTATACGATAATGCAAAATACGAAATAAATGAAGTGGACTCCGTATCGCGACTGGGCTTGCCTAGCCAGTCTCTTAATATGGAGAAAATTACGAAGAAATACCCTTATCTACGCGGGCTTCCGATCGAGTCATATGAAAATGCCGAGCCGGGTATTCTAATAGGAGCCAATTGTTGGAAACTTGCGGTGCCTATCAAAACTCGTGAGGGACACTGGCTTGAGCCGATCGCCACTAAGTGTCGCTTAGGTTGGACCTTGCAGGGAGGTACTACTAACCACTTTGACTCACAACTATTGAATATTCACATATGTGACTGCGAAAAGAAATACGAAATCCTACACGAAGAGATCAAGGAGTACTTCAGCCTAGAGATGCCGCAAAAAAGAGAGCTCATGTCCCCACAAGACTGTAGAGCGTTGCAAATTCTAAATTCAACGTGTGAAAAAAGAGAGGGCCGCTATGAAGTGGGGTTGTTGTGGAAGCATGACGACGCAAAGTTACCAGCTAGTTACGACAACGCCCTTAAACGCTTCAGATGTATGCAGAAAAAGTTAGCTAAGGACTCCAATTTGCAACGTGACATGCAGAAGCAAATAGACAACTTAATTAGCAAAGGTTACGCAAGAAGGTTAACTGCAGACGAAGTAAATAGATCATACGACCACGAGTGGTACCTGCCGATATTTATCACACTAAACCCCAACAAACCCGGCAAGTTACGCCTTGTGTGGGACGCTGCGGCCAAATCTGATGGAGCCGCTCTTAACGATTTCCTTCTGTGCGGGCCAGATCTACTCAATTCGCTAGTCTTCGTATTACTGGCTTTTAGAACTGGGCAGTTTGCTATTTGTGGAGACATTGCCGAAATGTTCCACCAGATTCGCGTAAGAGAAATGGACATGCACGCTCAGAGGTTCTTGTGGCACGAGAACTGTGAGGAGTTACATAACCCTCACATCTACGTTATGCAAGCGCTTACCTTCGGCATCAGCTGCGCACCTTGCATTGCTCACTTTGTTCGAGATGTAAATGCAGAGCAATACAAGCAAACATCACCGCGAGCGGTAGAAGCAATACAAAAGCATCATTACGTCGATGACTTCATCGACAGCGTCGATACCGAAGAAGAAGCACTGGAACTGGCTCTGCAAGTGAAAGCAATTCACGCTCAAGCTGGATTCAACATTCGTAACTGGGCATCTAACTCATCAGCTGTTCTGAGGCAACTTCCAGGGGAGTCCGTCGAAGATCAAACTCCTAAGGACTTAAGCAATGCAGAAAAAATATTAGGTTTGTTTTGGGATCCAACTAACGATGTTTTTAAGTTTATTTGCAGGTTCTCCAAAATGAGACGAGACATCTTGCAATGTAGCTTGGTCCCAACCAAAAGGGAAGTACTCCAGGTGTTGATGTCCATCTTCGACCCTCTCGGGTTTGTGGCACATTACACCATAGGTCTTAAAATACTACTGCAGGATGTATGGCGATCGGCCATTAACTGGGATGACCCACTCCCAGGTCCGCTTTACAACAAGTGGTGCCAGTGGAAGACGTTGTTGCCAGCAATAACCTCTATTACGATTCCGCGATGTTATTCACAACTTCTAAAAGACTCCGAATGCAACCAAATCCACACCTTCGTAGATGCCGGCGAGTATGCTTACGCGGCAATTTGCTATTTGCGAGTGAAAAACAAAAACGGAGTCAACACTATCATCGTGGCCGCTAAGTCAAAAGTAGCACCGCTAAAGCCCGTATCTATCCCGAGGCTCGAACTACAAGCTGCAGTGACTGGCGTAAGATTGGCGAACAATGTGATGAAGGCACTACAATTTCCGATTCATGCTCGATTCTGGTGGTCAGACTCAAAGACCGTGCTCAAATGGCTCCGCATGGATCCGAGAAATTTCAAACAGTATGTAATGCATCGCGTGGGCGAGGTATTGGAGGCGACCAACGCCACTGACTGGAATTGGGTTCCCTCAAAAATTAACCCTGCTGGCTTGGCAACGAAATTCAGCCGGCAACAAAGTTCCGATATTTGGCTGCACGGGCCGAAATTCTTATCTTTCAACCAAACCGATTGGCCGAAATGCGACGACCTCGGACCAGTGGAGCATACTGAACTCCGACATTTTACCTTTCATATAACCAAAGGCGAAACCACACAACCTTTAATCGATGCTGATACGTTCTCAAGCTGGCGTCGATTATACTTGACGATGGCGATGGTAATATTGTTCGTAGAAAAACTAAAATCCAAGATAAAGAAGGAGCAAATACCTACCGGCGTATGTGACAAGATTATCCACAGAGCTAAGAGCGCGCTCATAAAAGAGGCACAGCAGAGTGGATATCGGCAAGAAGTTATCAACCTCAAATGCGGTAAGAGTATTGAAAGCGATAGCAAACTAATCTCTTTAAATGTCTATTTAAGCGACGAAGGTATACTCAGATCACGGGGAAGAGCCGAAAGCTTAAGAACTGACGACTCTATAATCTTACCGACAAACAACTCAATCACAGCTTTAATAGTTCGACATTACCACGAACGAAATCATCATCAATTTCATGAAGCAGCCTTGAACTCGATTCGCGAACAATATTATATTCCACGCCTACGAGTACTTTACCGCAAAATACGAAGGTCATGTCAACGCTGCAAGAACGATGGCGCTAAGCCAAATACTCAGCAAATGGCTCCGCTACCAGCTGCACGTTTGGCAAGCTTTGAGCGTCCGTTCACCTATGTCGGAATAGATTTTTTCGGTCCGATACATGTCTCGATTGGAAGGCGCAGAGAGAAAAGGTGGGGAGTAATCTTTACTTGTTTGAGCGTCCGTGCATTTCATCTGGAGGTCGCACATAGTCTAGACGTCAGTTCTTGTATAATGTGCATTCTGAACTTTGTGGCACGGCGAGGCAAACCACGCGAGATTTATACAGACAACGGCACAAACTTAAAAGCTGCGGAAAAGGCCTTGCGCACAAATGCTAATGGTATCGAAAAGCTAAACATAAATTGTTAAGACGTCGTTTGGCGATTCAACCCACCAGGGGCGCCACATATGGGCGGGGCCTGGGAGAGATTAATCCGCTCCGTTAAATCCGTCCTGAATGCTATTTGCCCTTCGTACAAATTTACAGACGAAACGCTCAAAAGTGCCTTATGTGAAGTAGAGCTTACAATCAATTCTCGACCACTCACATTTGTATATCTCGACAGCGCAGACGACGATGCGCTCACACCAAACCACCTGCTCCTCGGATCTACCGACGGACACAAATCAGTCTTCAACGAGGCATCAAACCTACGACAGCAGTGGCACAAGACACAAGACTTCGCTAACAAGTTCTGGCAACGTTGGCTGCAGGAATATACTCCAATCATTCAACGTAGAGCCAAATGGTTCAGCAAGCGGGCCTCAGTCGCAATCGGAGACGTGGTTGTTGTTGTTGATGAGACTCTGCCGCGAAATTATTGGCCGAAGGGTATCATCGTTGATGTCGTAAAAGCAAAAGATGAACAGGTGCGACGGGTAACTATAAAAACGCAAAAGGGTCTAATGCAAAGGCCCGCAACCAAGGTGGCAGTGTTGGATGTCACCGGCAATACTTAAGCAATACTCATCACGATTCCTTTGCTAGGGGGGGGAATGTTGCCGCTGGGTATACTCGTTTACACCGCCGCTGGGTATACTTAT